TTTATCCAAATCAAATCCTAAGCGTCAACGAAAATTCTTTTTGTAAAGGAGTTTAAAAAAATTAAATAATACTGTATATTCTCTTCGTCTCAAAAAAAAAAAAAATGTCACATTTTGAAAACTGATTCAATATTTACACATTAAAATACTCCTTAACTTTGTATCATTTGACTATGCATGTTTATGATGAACTATAAATTAGGCACTTATATATGTTTGTCTTATCATTTCATTTGTTAAATAACACCTATGAAAAATAGCTCCATAAATTCTGTTAACTAAATGGAACACAAAGTTGATAGCATCAACTTCACATGTTTAATGAGAAGTTCTTTCGATCTTTGTAATTCTGAAATGAGCTTCTTGATTTGAAAACCTCATCTGAGTTAAGGTCAACCCCATTACACTTGTCTTTATCAAAGTACACTTTCTTGTCGACATCAGATAGCTGACTCACACTTAGCAAATTGTTTGTTTTTTTTATTTTTCTACCGTAGGCGGTTCCTATCGGGGAAAAAGGTCTCGGGAGATTAAAACGTTGTTCCTTGATCCTGAGATCTCAAGCTCGTATCAGGGCCCATATTAGAAACATTTAGCTTAGATGATAAGAAAGCAAAACACTCTTTGCAACCTCTAAGGGAACTCATTTAAGTTTCACTCAAAAGTCTCATTTTCTTTCAAAGATTCAATCTTTTCAAAATCCAAGTTTCAGTTTTCCAAATTGAGCACATTCTTTGACAAAATTACTGACAGAGAAAGTAATATTGTTGAAAAGGACAGAAGCTTGAGCATTGAGTTTAGAGCTCGAGTATTGATCCAGAGCTCGAGCACAAGGTTTTTTCTCTCTTCCCCCCTCTCTCCTGCTCTTTTTTCTTGTTCATTTTTTTTTTACCTTTTTTTCTTTAAGTAAAAAGCAAGACACAATGTCCCTTTCACTTTACAAATCTATCATTGGCAATTTGTTGTATCTTACAGTTTCTAGACCTGACATTATGTATTTTGTGGGCTTAGTTGCAAGATTTCAGAGCAACTCTTATTTTATTTCAAAGATTCAATCTTTTTAAACTTTAATTGCATATATATGAGAGTTGAGGATTATTTTGGTTTTGATCACTTGAAACATAAGTTCCATTGATGGAAAATTTTAGAGTCCAAGGAGACAAAGATTCTTCCAATACCACAAATGAAAGTGTATATATATATATATATATATATGTGTGTGTGTGTATATAGATATATTGGAATGGAAGGAGTAACAAATAAAAGGAAATTAATAAGAGAGAGAGAGAGAGAGAGTAAGAACCATTACTTCTCCTTGCAGTCGTTTTTATAATACAGATTAAGTTAAGAATTTTGAGAATGGGAGACTTATTTAGAACTTTCTTTTAAATAATATATCATTTCCAAAATAACCAGAAAGAGACGCAACTGCTCAAAACTTTATTTAATTATATGGAAAAGTGCAGCCACACCTCCTGAGATTTGACAAAAGGACACACAGATGAAAATTATCCATTTTTTGGACAAAGACACCCTTCAAGTTTGAAAAATGGACAAAGAGACCCCTGACAATGGTGAATTGACTTTATTACCTTTTGATATAAAATTGATATTTTAATTGCCTTAAATGCCCTTGGAGTAAACCCAAACCCAAACCTTTATTCTTTTCTCTTTGTATATATATATATACACACACTACATAATCGCCGCCACTGCCAAAACCCGCCCAATCCTAGCCTATCACCAATTGCCTCCGTCGCCACCACCCACATAATCCTAACCATCAATTGCCGCCACCATCTACACAATCATCGTCTCTCAAACCTACCACCAATCCACGGTTTCTCCCTTAAACCCAGATTTTTTTTTTTTCTTTTTTCTTCCTCCAATTCTCCTCTCTCTCATCTGTCATTTATTCGTTTTCTCTCTTCCTCCTCTTACCGTTCGCAACCACAGCCGCCACTAATTCCACCAAACCACCCTCAACAGTATTCTTCTCAAGGAGACCACTGAGAGCCACAAACAACTGGACTTACTCCGCCAGGAAAAAAGGGTCTTTGGAATCGGAGCTAACACGGTCTGAAATGGAAAAGGGGTCTTGCAGGGTGAGTTGACTCAGTTGCAGGACGGTATAACACGACTGGAGTTGGAGAGGAACTTGGTTTCTGAATTTGTTTTCTGTGCATGTTAATCAACAGGTTGAAGTGATTGCGGAGGAGAAAAATGGGTTTGTGAGAGAAAGAGCAGAGATTGAGGGGAAATTGCAGAAATTAGAGAAAGAAATGAGGGAAGTTGTGAGGGAGAAGGGTGAGATTGAGAAGGGGAAGAGAGAGAGAGTCTAAAATTGGGTTGTTGGAGAAGAAATTGAGCGAGCTTCTTGTTGAAATTGAAAAAGAAAGAGATGTATCCAAACATTTGTGTCAAGAGAGGGATGTGGTGAGGACTGAACTTGATGTTCAAATTGAGGAAACAAATGAGTTGAAAGCAAAACTTGTTGAGACAGTGAAGATAGAGAGAGGAAAATTCAAGAAGAGTTTCAGAAACTGGAGGGAGAGAGATTATAATGGCCTAATGGTGGAAAAAGAAGAGAGAGAAAGAAGGATTGAATCGATGACAAGGGACATATGACTGTGTATATTTATATGTGTGTGTGTGTGTGTGTGTTAGCAGATAGAGAGAGAGAAGAGAAAAAATGAATAAAGGGCTCTTGTGTCATTTTGCATGGTCGGATATTTTGTAATATATCTGAATTTAATATGGAGGGGTAATTTTGTCTTTTCATATGATTTAAGGCTTTGTCTAAAAAATGAGGGGTGTCATTGTCTAAAAAATGAATAATTTTTATCTGTGTGTCATTTTGCCAAACCTCAAAGATGTAGTTGTACTTTATCCTTAATTATATTGCTTGTTCTTTTTTAGAAGGTCAATCTCTTTTTAAATGATGAAATTTTGATCTTTCTTTTCATTATAACATGTCATTTTCAAAAGATCTCCAAAGAGAGACAATCAATCAGTCAAAACTTACTTTAATTATAACATGCTTGACTTTTTCAGATCGCTTTTCAAATGACCAAATAAACTTACTCATTGAATACTGTTACTTATATTTAAGGCTAAAAATCATAAAACTACCACTATTTTTAATTTATTATTATAAAGTATCAATATATTTCTAAAAACTTCTGTTATCATATTAGTCTTAGTTTGGGATGTTAAAGTAACCTGTGTTGTTCACTTGCATTGACAAAACATTTTTGGTAACAAAACTATCCCTGCAAAAACACGTGTCAACCAAGTGTTGTTAAACTTTTTTTTTATTATTCCAAAAATGCCCCTAAGCATGTTAAATAATAGAAGTTGTTGTTTACTCATCCACTAAAAAATATTGAATTTAAATGTTTGAATTAAAATTTTAAATAATTTATGACCGAAGATATTAAAAGAATTTTTTTAAATAAATAATTAAACAATTTACCATCAAATTATACATTTCTTTTTTAAGCACAAATGAGGCCTTTCATTTATTTATTTTTTAAAAATACAATAAATCTACTTTGGAAATCTTCTTCAACTTGAGTTTTGAATCAATTGTTTTTTTTATTATTTATACCATATTTCTAAATAGGAATTTAACTTTTGTAAGTAGAATTTTATTCAGAATTTAGTGGTTATCCAAAATCTATTAGTTTGTCATTTAAACATATTTGAAACAAATAATTAGTAATCCTAATTGTTGTCAATTTTTATATTTAAATTGTGAAGTAATTAGTCAATTTTTTGAAGTATGAAAACGATTCAATTTTTTAAAATATAAAATAAATAATGATATTTTAATGACTTATTTAGTTTTTTGTTTACCAAATTGTGAATTCTACAAAAGTTTTTTTATTTAATTAAATGAAATAAATTATATTTTAATACATAATGTAATATTAATAAATTGGCTTGAACTAAATTATATTATTCAGGTTTGTGCCTTTTGGTAATTTGTAAAATATCGATTTTTGCTTTTTAAAATAAAGTGGTATATCATAAGGGTAATTTAGTTATTTAATAAGCCCTTAATTATTCATTGACACAATTGGGGTGATGGGATAACTTTATAATAGTGTTGAAATTTTTAGAAACATGTTGAAGTTTTATAATACAAAATTTAAAATAATGGAAATTTTATGATTTTATTCCTATATTTAAATGCATAGAATGATAGAAAGGAAGTAGGATGATAACTTTGGGATTACCTTCAAACAGCCAATTTGAAGGTTTCATCCTGTCAACTTATCCTAATTAAGGCTGCACTGTAAAAATTTAAATTGCACTTGAATAAATAGTTTTTTTTTTTTTTTTTATATTTTTTTAAAGATTTGTAGTATATGATCTTATGGCTAGTCATCATAATAATATTTAAATATATATTTTTTATCTTGACAAAAAACTCATATCAAAATTTAGAAGTTTTTAAATTAAATATTTAGATGCGTTAGTTGGAAATATTTTTATTTATTATATGCCCTTGACTTAATTTCCTAGCTTTGTCCCCTATGGAAATATGAGAAGCATAATGGTACATTCAAGGTAAATAAAGAGATCATCATGTTAAATAGTGGTGTCAAGAAAATAAATCAGTAGAGGGAATGGTGGCCCCACATTTGTTCAAGTATATGATCTTATGGTCCAACTTTTTGTTTTTATTTTTTTTAATTATTTTAAAATTCTACATTTAAGAGTGATGAGGTGTGTGGGCTGCAAATAAACATAAACAACTCGGGCTGGGATCAGACTCGTTCATTTAACAAACGAACCGAATTTGAACACAAATTTTGAGCTTGTTTAATAAACAAACCGAGCCCGATCAATGATAGGCTTGGCTTGTAAACAAGCTCGTTTATTTGTAATTTATGATTTTTCAATCCAGCTCAACATATTTGATCCATTGTTACATGAGCCCATTTGTAAAATACATTCCTATTAAGCCTAACACAAAATGACCCATATTTATTTCATTTTAAAGATCCAACAACAGATCCATTTATGTTAAGTTTGCTAACACAAACCAAACCCTAAAGTCTACAACGGTGCGCATCCGGCATCCGTGACGTTCTTCTTCTTCTCACTCTCTGCAACAATCGGCGACGACCACTTGACCAGCTCTCCCTTCACCGGCCCTTCAATATTTCCAGAGATCGGTGACGTTCAACCTCTCCTTTCACCAGTCCTTCAATATTTCCAGAGATCGGCGACGACTAGTCTCTCCCTTCACCGGCCCTTCAAGTTCTCATATCCTTTAAAGACAACAATGGAGGAATAATGAAATTAATTGCAAAAAGGGAACGATGCACAATTGTTGATGATTTCAGACAACCTCAAGGTATGCATATATATATAACTATACATTTATAACTCAATACATATGATTTGTTTGTGTTATGTATATACAATACTCTGTTGTGTATTATACATATGACTATATGTGTTCATATCTTCCTCTTCTTTCAGTTCACAAATTGCATATAAAATCAGAATTGAAAATGAAATGGTGCAAACGAGCTCGAACCGAGCCGAGCCCGAGCACCTCCCAGATTACGGCGAACCGAGCCCGAACATGCCAAAGCTCGGCTCCGCTCGGTTCATTCATTTGCACCCTGAGTACTTTCATAATTTATCACTTTGAGTACTTTCATAATTTATCACTTGGTATATGCAATCTCCTCTTTTTACATCTATTTGTAAAAGATAATCACAAAATCTTTCAAACGACTTAGAAATTTGTGAGGTTTAAGACAGTACCATTTTGCCCTTCTTTTCATCTCTCTCCGTAGATATATATATAGCTAATAATACTCCTTTTTCCCGCCCAGCCCCTACGTAGTCTATATCTCTCTCCATACTGACATTCAGAGGGTGGGCAGAGACTATTATTACATGCAGAATAGTACAAGATTTGTATGTTAAAATATTTACAATCAAAGCCATCACGTGGACATACAGGCTAGGTGTTAGAGTTATGAGAGTTGGGTGCGCAAATACCAACTCCCCATTAATTCTCCTAAAGCAGAGAACATCGTATTCTCTTTAAGAGAGAGAGAGAGAGACCAACTTTTAAATCACACTTGTATCTCTCTCTAAATCTCACTGATTTTCACTGGAGGTGTCTATCATATAGATTCGGTCGCCGTTTGAGACGGACAGAGACCACCCATGGTATGATTTTCTCTCTCTTACTCTCTTTGCTGTTGTTTAGTTATTGATATGAAACGCCGGCTGTAGATCTATAACAACAGTGTGATTGAAAATTTTAGAGTCTTTTGCCATGGTATGTTCAGATCTGGTATGTATGATGATATGTTATCTATGCATGTGGTATGTTCTTCGATCCGGTATTGATATGTTATGTTCAGATTAGGGATGGCAACGGGGCGGGTTTGGAGCGGGTTTTCCTAAATCTCGTCCCGCTCCTTTTAATTTTTGTCAAGTCTATACCCGCTCCGAGATTCGCGACGGGTTGGATTTTCATATCCAGCCCCGCCCTGTTGGGAAATACCGTGCCCCCTGTGCCCGCCCGGCTATCAAATTTTTTTCTCCCACTTTTTGGAACTTAAGCTCCTTCTGTTTAAATGTGGAAGCCTGTGAATAGCATAACATAAATAAAATTATGTATTCCAACAAAAATAAAAAAATAACATGCATATAACATAATTCAGAGAACATAATAAACAAAAATAAAAGTTTAATACAACCAAATCACAAGAAGTTTTAAGCTCCAACTTCCACCATAACCAAAACAAAAGCAAATTTAATACCAAATTTACATCCCAAATTAGAATTGTAAGATTGGTAAGTCGCTAAAATAAGTTATTAATTATATATATATTAAATATAGTTATATGTCTAGCGGGGCGAGGCCCCTAGGATATGTATACTGAACCCTTACCCGTCCCGTGACCCGCGATGGGTACAAAATTTGTATCCATGCTCGCCCTAACGGTATAATTTTTTATTTTATTTTATTATTTTTTATTTTTTTACTGTTGGTAGTTCTTCGATCTGTTATCTATGCATGTGTGGTGTTGTTTTTTTGTAATTTTATAATAATGATATTATTAACATCAAAATTCTAATTATAGATGAAGCACTAAACAAGAAACCTAATAAATTAATCTCTCTTATTCTTTGTTAAGTAACCTTTTTAAAAACAGGTGTAGATCGATCTGGTACAAACCTTGGCTTAGTTTGAGTCTCTCTTTCTTTTCTGGAAGCTTTGAGCTGATTTACTTCCAATATTAATTTTGTACACACATTCTTTGGTATTGATTTACTTCCAGTTATTTATTCATGTTTTACATACTGATTTTTGTTTTTGTTTTTGTTTCTACATATATATATATAATATTGTTATGATGTGATGCTCGAATAATTTATTAATGGAAATTAAAAACTTGGAAGTTTAGTTTTCAATTTCAGAATATATGTTTTACAAGTTTATTAACGCTTTTAAAACTTTTCCTCTTTTGTCCTAATAATATAGGTTTCTTCTTCTGAAAGAAGGGAGCTGATGGGAATGGGTGGAGTAGGGGAAAAGAAAATAGGTATGTTTTTTTTGCCTAACTAATTGAATTATATAAATCCCCTTACCGTTGTAGCAGTGATGTTGGTTTTAAAATGACCAATTATGATAGGAAGTCTCTTTTCAGTTTATTTTAATCAAATGTATGATTACCTGATTCTAGATGAGAATGTTGATGTCAACGTTACAAGAATGTTGATGTCAACGTTGACTGTAGTAATGACGATTGTAGCAGTGATGTTGGTTTTAAAATGATCAATTATGATAGGAAGTCTCTTTTCAGTTTATTTTAATCAAATGTATGATTACGTGATTCTAGATGAGAATGTTGATGTCAACGTTATGAGAATGTTGATGTCAACGTTGACTGTAGTAATGACGACTGATGACGTTGATAATATGTTGATGCACTCAAATTAAGTCAAAGCACTTGGAATTAAAGAAAATTTAGAGTTGAAGACGTACTATTGAGCATAGCGTCAATTCTTTTAGTTACAATAATCTTTGGTCACTTCACACACGATTTTTCAGTTTCTGTAATTCTGAAACAATGGTGTGTAATATGATTCATCTATTTGGGCGCTCTTATTTTTCATCTCTCTAAACCCTAATTTTATTAATTAAAAAGAAAAAGAAGAAGAAGACTATGCAATTTTAATTTAATTTAGCTTCTGAAATGTTGAAACTGAAACAGCAAAGAAGAGAGTGCACCACCATAAGAATTACCCAACGTTGGACAAAATAAGCTCTCTGAGTGTCTTGACAAATATTGGCATGGGAGAATTCTATAGATATGGACTTAGAGAGAGATATATGGTTGGGGGCACAAAAGTGTACGATAACTGTGAACCAATGGTTGTGAACTTTTGGCTTGTTTCATGCATCGGATCTTATCAGTGTACAACAATGAAATAGAAAGCTCTGATGTAATTATAAGTTACATACAGAGACAATAATTAATATTATATATGTATAACTTTACTAATCTAATATGATACTACTTATATCATACATACATATATATATATATATATATATATATATATATATATATGTAACTTTATACTTAGATATATTTTGATTTAGCCCACCCCATTGAGAAATCCTGGATCCGCCCTTGATGATATGGTGATTTAAATTATGGCACTCAATTTATTTGAAATTTTATTTTTGGCAATTTTTATTGCTTTCACTTTCTCTCGATTTGGGTGGTGAATGACTACTTGTTAATAGATATTTGATTGTGAATGCAAGGAGCACCAATTTAGATATGTTACAATTGACCCCTCAATGAAATTTTCTTTCCATGATTGCCATGGAAAATAAAATTATAGTGTGTTTAGAAATGTTGCAAGTGACATCTAGGTGAAATTTTCATCCCTTGATTTCCATGGAAAATAAAATCATAGTGTCAATGCAGGAATATGCTGGTCCACACATTGGATTGCCACTCATCAAGGTAATTTGCAACTAGTATAGATTTTCATTAATTATTTTTTCAAAGTATGTCTCTACCAAAATTTTAGGAAACTTTATAAAGAATTAAAATCCGAATTAAGCGAATGGAATAATAAAAATTATAATTTTACTGATTCGAGCAAGAAACAAAATGATGAAGCTGGTTCAAGCAAGATGGAATTAGATTCTGAAGAAACAGATTCAAACAAAGAGACTGCTGGAGAAACTGAAGTAATTGGGAGCCAAATGTTAAGTTGCCGTTTAATTAAATTTGATATGCAACTGAATTTCAAAATTTATTAAAATGTATGAAAAAAATATATATGCACATATGTATCTATTTTTTTGATTGGTGGTATGAGGTCATTAAAATTTAAATTTCAATCCTTTCAAGAGGACGAGCGGCATGAAATAGCATGTGAAGGAGATTTGTGGCGTCTTGGAAAAGAGAAGGAGAAAGCGAGATTCATAGTTTACAAGAAGCTTGACAATTCAGAAGAAGACATCTATTTACAAGAAACAATTAACTTAGTCTCTCTTACTAGAGATTTGAAATGTCCACATTTGTTGAATGCAAAAGATTTGTCTTTAGATACCACAAGGACAAAAATTGTGGTGGTGCAGACCATTCCATGGTGGCCCAGAACAATTTTGTAAATAACCAATTGAGCGATTTCTGAAAGCGGTCTATCAGGTAAAGGAATATTGTTTAGATTATATATATAGAGATATTTTTCAATTCCGTATACCTAATATACTTTTTATGTTTCTCAATTTTAAAGGAATATGTTGAAGGCTGTGAAATACCTCCATGACATGAACAGAACACATGGCAAGCTCAGTTTTGATTCCAGGGAGATTCATGTATATGATGAGGCCTGAAATGAAAGCATCCTTCAAAAGGATTTGGACGAATTTATTTAGTTTTTAACCAAACATATATCAAATGGCTGGCAGACCATCCCATGGTGGCCCAGAACAATTTTGTAAATAATCAATTGAGAGATTTCTGAAAGCGGTCTATCAGGTAAAGGAATATTGTTTAGATTATATATATAGAGATATTTTTCAATTCCGTATACCTAATATACTTTTTATGTTTCTCAATTTTAAAGGAATATGTTGAAGGCTGTGAAATACCTCCATGACATGAACAGAACACATGGCAAGCTCAGTTTTGATTCCAGGGAGATTCATGTATATGATGAGGCCTGAAATGAAAGCATCCTTCAAAAGGATTTGGACGAATTTCTTAAGTTTTTAACCAAACATATAATAATGACTTCCTGATGAAGCACGAGTTCCTAATGAAGCACGACTTCCTGTGTGGACAGATTTTAAAAATATTTTGAAGGCTAACACTTTAGTGTAAGTTATCTTTAGTCCAAAGTATTTCCAATTAATCTTACTTTTTTGATATATTTGAATCTTATTGTCTTATATTTAATGTTATAGGGTTGACCAGTTACAAAAGTCTCCACTATTGTTGACTGATCTTGAAATGCACGCTTATTTGGTGACAATTTGCAATCGCATTGGTTGTTTTAGTCACAAATTTCGTAATGGTACTCATTATGAGATAAGTTGGGCTAAAAATATATGGGGAAAATGGGACAATGTGCTCAGAGACCTCTGGGAAAATGGGACAGTTCAAGCATATGACACAAGATCTCTTGGAGGACATGATACGCTTTCTTAAAAATATAAGTACTACATATAAATAAAAATACAAATAAAAAATAACTTTTGAGTTTGAATCACAAGGTACACATTTAAAACTGCGACACTGTGACTTCTTGGGGATCATTTGTTGTGTATGTACTTGAAACCCTAAGTTATTTGAAAGAAAAGTTGTTTGGATTCATTTGTTGTTTACTTACAAAACAACTAGCAATTAGAGACCCCTTAATGGAGTTCCTATAAACCCATAATCACCGCATTCTCACATCCCCCCCCCCCCCCCCCCCCCCCTCTATATATGTGTGTGTGGGAAAATAAAATCATATTGCGTGGATGCAGGAATGCGTGAAATTTTCATGCCTTGATTTCCATGGAAAATAAAATCATATTGTGTTAATGCAGGAATATGCGGGTCCAAACATTGGGTTGCCACTCATCAAGGTAATTTGCAACTAGTATAGATTTTTATTAATTATTTTTTCTTTTTTCTATTTCTAATATCTAAATTTCTTTCTTTTATAGGATTTGGACTACAAATATGGAAGTTGACTTAAACTGTCATGCTTGCCATGTTTATTCCACTTCACCTTTCCATTCTCCCCTCATATTCATCCGCATAAGTTGTGCCCCTTACAGCATGTCCAGCCGTTTGTTAAAATACACAGCCACGTTATCAATGTTACACAATTTTTTTACACAATCATATCAGAATATTTACTTTCTCTTTCATATTTCTCATTCTATTAACGAATCAATCTTATATTAAGTAAGTTTGTAGTAATTATATTGGTCCAGGCATGATATTGGTTAATTGTTATTGGATGATATATTTTTACACAAAAGGTATAAAACAATCGCAGGAGTTAAAAATAAATAATTCAAAATTTTTGTGTAAATTTATTATGTCACATCAGATTTATACAAAAGTATACATGACCGTTGGAGATGTTCTTACTATGGATTGGATGGTCATGTGTGTGCATTTTGTTTCTATTTTTGTCTCGATTTTTTAAATGCCATGCTTGCCATGGTACTTTTCACTTCACCTTGTCATCCCTTCCCTAATATTCATTTGTAAAAGTTGTGCCTTTTTATTACTTACATGAAATGCTTATGTTTCTATTTTTGTTTTCGATTTCTAGTATCTGTGACTTTATATGTTCGTTTATTTTTGTTTCTTATTTTTATTTGTTTATTTGGTCTTGTGGGATTGCAATGTATATATTTCGGTTTCCGATGAGCTGTAAACTTTACAACTCAAACAAAATGGCACCTCTATCATCTACTCTCCCCGATGGCATGGGAATGGGAATTTAGCAACAATTTTGTACTCGTTCCATTTCCTCAAATGAGCAACTATAATTTCTTTCTTTCACTTTCCTCAATTGTAGAATTTTCATAAAACAGTTTATACTCTTGAGTCGGAAATTAAATTCACTAGGACACAGTAAAAGAAAAAATAAATTAAGGGGCATAGTTAAAAAAAAAAAAAATTCAATAATCACAACAATAAATATAGATTTTATAAATTAAGAGACGAAGAAAAAAAAATTATTTAAAATAATATCAATCAATGAGTAATTTAAGAAAGATAAATTGTTAATTTAAGAAAGATAAATAGTTATAAAAAAAATTAAAAAGGAAAGAAAAATGAGAGAATTTTGAAAGGGAAAAAAATTAGAGTTTGATTTAAAAAGAAAATTTTGATTTGTTTTTAAGAAGGATATTAAACTAATTTAAAGAGTAAAAAGTGAAAAAATACAAAATTTAAAAGATAATTTTAGAAAATAAAAATTTTGGGGGGTGGCACAATATGAATTTTTTCATATATATTATAATAAGCGGGGTCAAATAAGGGGGCGCATACTCATGGGCCACTAGCTCCGCCCCTTAGCACATGTATTTGAAATAAAATATGCTGTTGTGACCAATTTGTAGAGTCTAAAAATTCTGTATTGATCATAACATCATTCGAATCACTCTCATATTTAAGCATGCTAACAAAAATATACAATTATATTTAGCCGAATTTGCTGAAAAATCTCTCAAAAAGCTTCAATATTAACGGAAAGGATGAAAATCTTGTTTGTTTCAATTAAAATAATCAATCCTGGGTTAGAGATAGATATGTTAGTTATCAATTTAGTTGGTCCAAAATATGATATGTGACAACGAAATTAACTTTTTTCATAGAACAAATCTCTCTGGTCAGTATCTGAAATCTTTATTTATTTATTTTTTAATAACATTACGAAAACAATAACCAACTAATACCTGTTTTTGTGTGTGTGTAAGTTGAAGGAAGAATACATATGATTACAAATGGGGTGTAAACCCCATTGGGCCATCTTGACCAGACACAGGATCAACACTTGAGCTTGGGCCTGTCACGCCTTGAATTTCAAAATCCATTTTGTGAGAACATAAGTCGAAACTAAATTAATACTAATTGCAAATAGCTTTAATTTTAAGCCTTATTTGTTAGTTTATTTTATTCCTACAAGTTTATTTTATTTCTACACATTTATATATATTACTAGCCAAAGAACGTGGTGAAATTAATTTTTAATATTTAATTTTAATTTTATTTTTAAAAAGAAATTATATAATAATTTTTTGAGTTTAATATTAGTCAATTCTTTAGCTTGCCACAATAATACCTACTACCTCTCCCATATTAGTTCTCCATTTCAAAAAACTTTGACTCATCATCACTTCTTATTTTTGAGTCATTTGAGGTCATTTTTAGTCATATTTTTTTTTATATACTTATATATTACTTATATCTCATATTAGATGTCTAATTCAGTAATTTTGACTCTCAAAAATTGTGACAAATTTGACTTCTTTAAATCATCATCACTTCTTATTTTTGAGTCATTTGAGGTCATTTTTAGTCATATTCTTTTTATCTACTTATATATTACCTATATCTCATATTAGATGTCTAATTCAGTAATATGTGACGGAGATTGTATTTTGTCATATCTTCCACTTCTTCCAAGCAAGCAATATTGATTGAGACTTGCACCAAAAGAACAACCCATAACAAAGTCATCACAGTCATTAAGAATTATAAAGAAATCAACATCAATAAATAAAAATAGAAGAAAATGCATGAATAAAAGAATTGATTACGAAAAATCATTAAAAAAAAATAAAGAAATCTAAGACTCAAGACAACTTTTAAAACTAACACAAAAACCGTAACCATATTTTAGTGATTTAGTCAATATAAACTATATACTATTAGAAAGAATAAAAGATATATAAACCATAAGAAAACAAAAACTATAATTGCAAAAGAATTCGAAACCATAATTTCAAAAATTCCTAAATTATCAATTGTTTTTTCAAAATCATAGAATTCCTAATCTATTGCTCTCATTTTAAAAGTTCTTAATGCTTTATTCTTTTTTATATTTCTCATTTATTCTTCAAGTGTCACTTAATTGGACCATCCTTATTTACTAATATTGTTACATACACCTAATATAAGTATATCCTACGCTCTAGATTGCAAATAAAATCACTTCATGAAATCTATTAAATAGTATTCTCTCTCTATCTCCTAGTCTGTCATGATATACTATTCTATGCAAAGAAAGCAGAAGCATCTACAAACTGATGCATTCTTAGCTCTGACACATTCTTTTGTAAGGCTCCCTTGCAAGGAACATCAAATCTTCTTCTACTTCTCTTGTCTCCCCCTTTTCTTCCCATTTTCATACTCTCTCTCTAGAAAATAAAAAATGGATGAAGAGTGTCTAGAGACACCCTCACCTGATAGAGCACTTGAACAGGTCATACATTTTATTAAGGTCAGTGACTTAGCAGTATTTGCCTTTTATATTTTAAAAGATGGGTAAGGGTTCAAATTTCAAAAAAGACATGTGTGTGTGAGTCCAACTAATATATAAAAATAAAAATAAAAATAAAAATAAAAAAAAACAAACAGGTCATACATTTTTCTTTTAGTAACTTAATTTGATTTAATATCTCAAATCTATTAAATTGGATTTTTTTTTTTTTTTTTTTTAAAGTTTATTATTAGTTAAGTGGTATGATCTGGTATGATTAAGAAATTCAAAACCCAATTCAGATAGTATGTTTGATTCCTATTTCAGGTTGTGGTTTTGTAATGTGGATAATTTATTAGGCATTGATCTCTTTTTTGGTTATTAATGTTAATTTTTTGTTACCACTACTTTGCTGATCCGTGTGTGCATTTGTCTTGTCTAGAGACTTATGCAATTTGAGTTGAATTATATACAATTTGAAACTAATTGTTCATGGCAAATTATGAGAAACAAAAGTAGATGGTAGCTTGATTATAGTTTGTGGTTACTAAGATGCTTTCTTTTATGTTTGTTTTTCACTGTAATTAGTGGAAAGTGGCATTTATGATAATAAATGGGTTTATGTGATAAAACAATAACTATTTGCCTAAAAACATACTCCGTATATAGTTGGTATATAGGGAAGATGATTTGACCAGCTAGCGCGGCTTATTATTGTGGGAAGTTGTTTCATTTTATGCAGTGATAATTTGATCTTCAATCTCCTAGGTAAAGTTACTAAAATTAGGTATAGATTTCATATAAATCGTAGAGAGAATGTCGTAGAGGAAAACGATTTTCATTTTTTCTCTAGTTTAGGGATGGTATTGTGAATGAACATAATATTCAAGTTTTTGCATTTTTTTTTTCTTTTTTTTTTTTACTACTTCAAGTTCTTAAGATTATTAGTATACTAAATTTGAGACGTGTGTGATGCAGTTAGTTGCTTGGAGTTTGTATCATGGAGAATGAGGTGGTATTTTTGACAAGCGCATACTGAAACTCAAGGGCTAGATTTTTTAATTAAATGATAAATTGAACGTTTATGAATTGTTCAACAAAAGTTCAAGGAAATTGATAGAATTGATTATGTTTTTTTGACAAATAGATTTCCTTTCTATTTTGATACATTAAACAATGATGAATTTTTGAATTGTGAAAATGTTCTTAGACTTTTGATGTGTTTAATAGTGTATTTCAAAGGATTGGTTTGGTTATTGACAAATAATGTTTAGTTGAAACTGTTGTCAAATTGCAGGTTATGTGTATGATTAGGTAGTATTTAAATATGCTTTATTTATTTATTTATTTTTTAAAATATAGGGTTATCTAAGGGGAGCTAAACCCCTTAAATAAAATATTTATGAAAAAATACACGGGGTGTTTGGCTCCTCGCAAAAGGCCTTTTTGGGTCATCTACTTTGCTCAAATAGTTTTAGGTCAAAATGCCTTAAAACAAAGACATTGATTATTTTGGATATATGCTTGTTTTTCCAAAACAAATATGAAAATAAAATAAATAAAAATGAATATGCTTGTAGCATGGTCTTTAATTTGTCTCAGTTGGTTTAATTTTTTTTTTTTTTACTATCCATTTTACTAGGTTTAACTATTTGTGAAAATTGTTGTGTATTCCAATTGGATAACAAGTGATGTTCAAAACATGAGATACAATATTCCAGCCTGAATGAGCTCGAGAAATTCTAAGTTTTGAATTGATTGAAAATAAAATTAGCTGCTGTCTTCAATTATATATATATATATATAAATATTTCATATAGTTTCACTGTTACATATCCATCTAATCGGTCCATTCCTATTATGCTCATGCATTACTATCCTTTGTGCATGCTGGCACAACCACCTTTTACGGCCACCAAGCATTAGGGACCAAATGAAACAAAAATTGTGCCAGGGGAAGAATATATATATAAGAGTAGGTGCCGATATATATATATATATATATATATATATATATAGCTGTAGCTCCTATGTTGTTCAATAGAAGTTGTGGCCTTCGTATGTCGGACCATATTGCCAGTCCTTGGGGAGTACATCCATATTAGTAACACATTTGCCATCACTGGTTGTGACCTTAAAGCTCAAAGATTGTCCGCACAACATTTCATGGGTCTCCCACAACTGTCCCCAGTTTCTCTTCATTGGGAACCAATTTGGCTTGTCACCCTTTACTTCAACAGCTGTGACGGCTCCGTCCCCTCCAACGTTCCATACCATCACCAAGTCGAAATAAGGATTTCCAGATACTGTGAATCTAATTCCTCCTTGCTTTTCGCATGGAACCCTGAAAATAAATAAATCAATCAACCAATTTACTTGTAATGTGTTACGTGTTTTATTAGCATGATCTTCTTCTATATAGCTAAATTTGGTTTGAGAATGTGAAATCTGATCGATTATATATACCTTCTATATTGAATTGGGATAATGCCAGCCTGATATTTGGCAATTTGAAGGAATGCAGGTTGTGCCAGGTCAAAATGTTCACGGGGTGGATTGCACCATCCTCCAGCGTCAGCTGACTGATAGAAATTTGGTGGGCAGAAGTTGGTGGCCGTAACAATGAGCCGTTGCGCTCCGGGGTTGCACCATTCTGGATCATTGACGCATTTGATCTCAAAACAAGCACCGCAGGCGGCTCCTTGGTTGAACAAAGCCGTGCTCAAGGCGGCCGTATTCATGCCATAGCCTTGTTGTCTTAGGTCACCATAACCACAAGCTCCCCCTGAATAAATATCATGTCCATCATAGAAGGTGGCATGAGCATCCTTCCAAGGGCCAGCATTGGAGTAGGTGTTATGTTTGGGTGGCTTGGTGTGAGTAGGTTTAATTCTAGGTGTATGCAACGTCTTTGATCTATGTACGTGATAAATTTTGTTCTTGTCAAAATAAGTCATTTTCTTGCTTTTTTGGTCATAATGGTGAGCACCCACCACAACAAGAAGACCTAACAATGAAGAGAACAAAAGGGCTCCCAATTTTGATGCCATTACTTAATTTGTTGGTTGGTTCGGCTATGATTTGAATTCTTGTGAGGCAATGTGTTTTTATATAGTACTACATATTTGTTATGTTGGTTAGGGTTTTTCAGGTTAAGTAGAATTGGTGGGATGTAATTTAATTAGGCTGCCAATTTTTGTTGTATTTTTGTGTTTTTAGTTATAATTAACTGAATGTGCGTGTTACCCTCACGAATCTCTGCGTTCTCCTACAATAATATCATCAAATAGAATGAAGGACCTCTTAAAGAGCCACATTAATCTCATACAGTTATGCCAGAAGCCATCCTTTCCCATACCATTTTGAATTAGAGATATATAGAGAAGTCATCCTCACACCAACATTTATTTGATTTTGGAATTAAATGATGCATGTACTTTGAATATTATGAACGATTGTAGATCACCTGTGTATTTGGATTATCTTCATTAAATATGTGAGTTTAAAGAGGTTTTTAAATTCAATGAAAAGGTAAAGTTGCTTATGTTTGACCCTTCTTATATTTTACGATGAAGAAAATCGAATTAGCTTTATATAAATTTTTTTTAAAAAAAAATATTCAAGAAAAATAATTTGCTTATATGAGAATTATCACTTCATTTATCTCTCTCACTTCTATTTCCTTCCAGGGACGGATCTATGAAGGGCTCAGTGGGGGCATCCGCCCGCACTGAAATTTTTTATTATTGCATTTTATACCCTTAAATTTATACTTTTTTGCATTTATACCTATAAAATTTTGAAATTGCCCCCACTGAAATTATGAAACCCCCCATATGAATTCCTAGATCCGTCCATGTCTCCTTCAATCTCGAAATTTCAATGGCTTCATTTTTGTGAAAGAAATCGTTTAATTTATGTTGCATTTTTATGCTTTTATGATCTATATGAAATTTTATGTAATAGAATGTAGACAACTGTAATGACTTTTTCTGATAAAAAAAATGACGTAAGATGAATGGTGGTAGGAATTGACGCATTTATAGAGGTGAAAAGAAAGAGAGAGAAAATTGCATACCTTTTAACTAAAATAAATAAAAAAAACAGAGAGAGAGAAAATACTTATAATTTTTGAGTTCGAATCATAATGTTGGCATTTAAAACTGCGACACAGTGATAACTTAATCCAATTTAGTTGTGTCCAAGCTCTGTCCTCCTCTGATGGGAAGGGTACTGTAGGCAAGTAAAAATGCCCCTTTCTATGTTGTATATCTGAATCCCTTTTCACTCATGTATTAAATTTGTATGTCTCATTTATATTCTAACAATTTGTTGTTATCTTTATCTTTATAGTAATTTTTTATTATATATGTTTGCCTCCTGATTTGCTACAGAGCAATATATACACACCAATTCGGCATATATGTATATACATACACACACACACCCCAATTAGTTTTTGACAAGAGGGATGATCAAAAGTTAGTTCCTTTTGCATCTTTACACCATGGCTTTTGTTAAATACACAAAGCTTTGTCGCCAACCTAACCTCTGTATTTTAGAAATATCATCGATAAGATTAAGTTCAGTTTTTTTTTTTTTTAATTCACTTCAAGTTGCAATTTAAAAATAAACCAAAAATAATTTATGTCTTAAAATTTATTTGGGTCATTGTTGCAACTTATTTTCTATTTTTAATTAATTTTTTCGTAGTTCTTAAATTACGTAACTAATGATGAGTTGTTTTGATCGTACTAACCCACGATGAAAAGGTCTATGAGACTATGATGGAAACTTGGTAAACCTTCATGCAGTGGCTGGAAAAGATTAAGCATCTCTATTTCTGTTATTAAAAATATCGAATGACATGTCAGTAACTTTAACCGATGTCTAAGGACAGTTTTGAAATACACGTACACATGCACTTTTAATTGTAAATTTAAAAAAATAATAATAATAATAAATGGCCTAAATTTTTCTTTAATTTCATGCAACCGAAAATTATCTTTCATGTTATAAAAATGAGATGTGTGTGTATCTTTATTTAAGCATGTTAGATTTGGGTTGAGTATTCAATTTGGTGAGAAAGTTCAATACAATATTTATAAATTTGTTAATTTCTTTAAATTTAACAATTTTATCAATATTTGTGGTTTCAATTTAAAGAAATTACCAAATTTTTAAATATTATATTAACTTTCTGGCCAAATTGAATATTACCCAAACCTAACCAGCCTAAAAAGTAAAAACACACACACAGGCACACATCATTCTATGAAAAATGAAAACTAGCATAAGAATTGCAAGAAAACATACTAGAAGGAATCATCTATTATAATGCAATTGGATCGAAGACAGTGTGTACATGTATTTCAAAAGTGTCATTAGTACATCAGTTACAGTTACTGATCGACCTTGTCATTTGCTGCTGTTACTAATTGAAATAGACTTTTAAATCTTTTCCTTCCCACTGCATGAAGATTTTACCAAGTTTCTACAATACGCCTTTTCATCCTGGGTTGGTTAACTAATTTAAAAAATACCAAAAAATAATTAAAATTAGAAAATAAGTTGCAACAGTGACCAAATAAATTTTAATGCAGAATTTTTTATTTTTTAATTGCAACTTGACGTGTATTTAATAAATTTTAATACAGAATTTTTTATTTTTTTATTTTTGGTTTATTTTTTAATTGCAACTTGAAGTGAATCAATGAAAGTTTTTTTATTTTTATTTTTTTTTTATTTAAAAAAAAACAAGTACTTCCAGAAAAAATAAACTTAGTCTTATCCATGATATTCTAAAATATAGAGGTTAGGTTGGCAGATAAAGCTTTGTGTATTTAACAAAACAAGTTAGGTGGTTGGCAGATCAAGCTTTGTGTATTTAACAAATTAAAGCCTGCAATGATCAAACCATGCTGTAAGGATGCAAAAGGAACTAGCTTTTCCTAGTCCCTGTCCCTCTTGACTCTCTGTCTAGCTACCACTTTTTCAACCAATACACATTACACTACTCACTAATTGGTATATATATGTGTATATATATATATAGATAGAGAGAGACTTGTCTATGCCACACTTGTTGAGAGTTGAGATATGTAATAATATGTTACATATATGTAAGATATATATGTTATAATTAGTTGTTTGTTGCCTATATGTGAAGAAACTAAGGGTGTTGAATTGGAAATCACATTCATCAGTAGTTAAGGCGCGCCATAGCATCATCATCCATCGGAGTTTAGAAGAGTAAATGAGGAGGGGACACCGGAAGATATGGTGGGTGGTGCCATGCACGAGCAGGAGAAGTTGGCAGGCTGAGTGGCGGAAGGATATAGAGGAAATACTCAAAACGAAGCTTGCAACCATTCAAGAAGAGCCGGAAATGTGTGAGGAAAACCGGACACTAACGAAGCAGCAGCATCGTTGCAAGGCCAAGAAGGGGAGAAAGATGTATGGCAAGGCTAAAATGGGATGGTTTTTTGTGCCTCTAACACAGCCTTAAACACTCTTATGTGCTGTCATATCCGGTTTGACCTCCAGAGGTAGCTTGGGGGACTTCCTGAGTGCTAGACAATGATTGTGTGAAAGGCCAGTTTGCAAATGGTACATCTCCTGATTTTAATGTGTTTTGTAAATCTCCATGGAATAAATCTTATTATTTACTTGTGTGAGATCAAAATCTTCCCTTGCCATTAACAACATGTAGAAGGTATTAAATTAGTTCCTCTTTTCAATTCCATCTCCTGATTTTGACAATTTGTTGGGAAAACACATTGGAAGAAAAGACTAGCTTGTTATTGTTAGAAAGTGAATGGATGGTTTGTATAGTAACAGTCAGAATGCACATATATATGTTCTCGAGGTATAAATGCAAAAGAGGCAGGCCCATTGAAGGTTACACTGATCCTACTGCAATTAATGAATTAATGAAATTGCGGAGGCTCATTTACAAGTTGAAATCGGACCAAAATGGGAAGAATTAAAATAGCAATTTTTTTTATTTTTTATTTTAAATTATTGCAACACATAATTGGCATAATTAGTTTTTATATATATCACTGTCTAAATTAAAATAATAATAATAAAAAAGAGTGAGTTGTGGTCCTTTGGATATTACCAATTGAGAATCTATTCTGAAAATGGTCAATGTGAGTATGACTACCCTAAACAATTTCAGTAGTAAAATGCAAACATATGGTTGCTATATCAATAACCACAAATAACCTGATCTATGTCAAATACCAACTGATTTTTGAATTAAAAAACTTTATTAGAGGGGACCTTAATGTAATATTGAAATTGATCATCTTTATCATCTTTTTCTTTTCTTAAATCAATAGGATTGAATTACCGAGCAGTTATCAGGATGGACACGGCCAAAACTCCACTCTTAGAACTTGAGTTTACAAATGAAACTCTCTCTATATATAGGGATCTTCCTCCTGATAAAATGATAGGATATATTACAATTAATTAATGACTAATCTATACTCTAGAACTTTTTGCGTATATATAAAAAATATTCTACATATTTATCAACTCTAAAAATCTATTCTCCAACTCTATCAGCACTACACAATTATTCTAGAAATCAAATTCTTCATATATGTAATGCATGATAAGTTATACATTGTAAGTCTAATGCCACATTATTTTAATACATGACTTGCACTTATTTGTTGTAATACCACGTCAACCATGTGACACACAACAAATAAATTTTGGTCATGCACTCCCCATACAAATTGGCCGGGCGTGGTATAGGGCTCACTTGATATTAAAACATAAGGTTGACTGCTTTCTAGTTTTCGAAATGATTATTAATAAATAAAAAAATTAAATGGAATGCTCATACTTCCAACAATGTCTTCTTGCTCATCAATTATTAAAAATGACACGGATAAACTTTGTAACGTTAACATAGGTTTATGTCCACATGGTAACAGAGGTTACCAGCTTTAAGATTCTATATATATATATATATATATAGTTCATAGACGACTAAGGATGCATCAACTGCCACCATTTCTACACAGTTCTCAAA